ATCCCTGGGCAAGTGAGGGCATAAGGTGTCAAAAAGGCACCTCCCCCAGCAGGCGCTAGTTGTTGCCATCGCCTGCTGCCCTAGGCCTGATCCGCGTCCTCAGATTAGCTTGGGTGCACCGGGCTGCATCTGGAAGCCCAGGAGGTCTTGACGTTGGGAGTGAGGGCCACGTAAATACTCCCAACTTTGGACACCTGGCATCAGTGCTTGGTGGCCCAAGTTTGGGCACCACAGCAGATGGGGAGGAAGGGTCCAGCCTCAAAGGGGGCACCCATGCCCTCTGTATGGGGCAGGCTTGGCGAATGGGACTTGGGCTTCGAGGGCACCTGTCAAAGGTGTGCAGAGTTGGGAAGGGCCTGATCAGGTCTTCAAGGGGACTGGATGCCTTGCTGTTCCCTGCAGCCAGGACTCAGCCCCCAGTGAGGTACTGGCAGTCCTCCCTGGCTGGCGTTAGGTCCAGGGCTTTCCCTATCCTAGAGGGTGGGCCAGGGCTGACGCTCCCACCCTGGCAGGCCTTTGGGTACAGCTGAGGAGGGGGCCCCTTGCTTAATTGAATTCAGCTGTTGTTAGGAGATAGGAGAACTGAGCTGGACCTCTGGGGCATGGGGCTGGAGGTGGCAGGGGAGGAGTGGACCCAACCAACCTACTGCTGTGGGATTTCTGTCCCTTTCCAGGCTGCAGTAGATGGTCCCATGGACAAGAAGGAAGAGTAAGGGCCTCCTTCCTCCCCTGCCTGCAGCTGGCTTCCACCTGGCACGTGCCTGCTGCTTCCTGAGAGCCCAGCCTCTTCCTCCAGTACTTCTGTTTGTGCCCTTCTGCTTCCCCCATTCCCTTCCACAGCTCATAGCGCGTCATCTCGGCCCGTCCACACTCTCCCAGCACATTACAGGGGACCTGATTGCTACACGTTCAGAATGCATTTGCTGTCATCCTGTTTGGCTTGGCCTGGCCAGGCCTGGCGCAGCCCTGGCTTCCACGCCTGAGCGTGGAGGGCACGAGTTAGTTGTAGTCTGGCTTGCGGTGGGGCTGACTTCCTGTTGGGTTGAGCCCTTTTAGTTTTGCCCTCTGGGTGTTTTCTTTGGTCCCGCAGGAGGGTGGGTGGAGCAGGTGGACTGGAGTTTCTCTTGAGGGCAATAAATGTTGTCATGGTGTGTACGTGGTGTGTTGTGTGACTGCGGCTGTGGGGAGGGCTCTGCTTCCTCTCCTGCCCGGAGCCCCCAAGCGGCCACAGCCCTTCAACCTGTTTTCCCCACTGAAGGCCAGGCTCACACCTGTTCTCAAAGGCCCTGCCCTGTCTGCCCTCTTGCTCCCTGGGCCGGGCCAGGCCTCACTTCAGGGCCACCCGCCGAGTGTGTGTCCTGTCTGCCTCCCTGGGTGTGGGCAGCTTGGGAGGCTCAGTAAAGCGGCGGGGCTTCCGGGTAGAGGACTCGCTTGCCTTCTCTGGGTTCCTGTTCGTCACATTTGGGACAGACAGAACGTGGCAGAACGCCACTAGTCACTCCCTGCCCCACCCCCTCCTGAAGGTTTGCAGGATGACCTCTGACTAATGCCAGCTGGGAGAGGAGACTTGTCCTTGGCAGTGACCTGGAGCTGGCCCAGGGCAGAGCTAGGCAGAAAGGGGCTGGGAATGGACTGGGGCCCCCGGCCCTGAGAACGTGTTGGGTGTGTGCCTGCCACCAGAGCGCTGTGCTGGCTCCAGGGTGTCCCTCCCGTGGCTCCCTCAGAGCTGTGTCTTCCAGGCCCACAGCAAGCCAGGCCAGAACCGGGGCTTGCTGCCTGGCGCTGGTGCCCAGGCCTCTGCGCTGTGCTGCTCTCTAGTAGCACATGAGGAAGGCAGCCCCCGCCCGTAGCACAGTGCTCCCACCCTGCAGGGCCTCTGCCATGCCTGGTGTCTGCATGAGGACTGGGCGGAAGGGTCAGGGGAACAGGTTAGAGGTGTGTCTCCTAGAACCGGGGGTGGGGGACCCCTGAAGGATGTTGATGCTGGCAGGGTAGCTGATGGCCTGCTGTGCATGCTCACTTCTGCCTGTCCTGTCCGGGCCCACGCCAGTGGTTCCCTTCTCTAGCATCCTGTTACCCTTCCCTGTGCTCAGAGCACAGCTGCCTCATGCTGAGTTCTGTCCCTTTCCAGGCGGTCTGAGAGGTGGTGTCTGAGGGAGTAGGGGACACGTGGGCGATGCCCTCTGGTTGCTGTGCCAAGGCCGAAGGCTGATCCCACTTTTCCAGGAAATGTTCTCTGCTACCTTGGACCTCCCTGAGCTCACCCTTCTCTGAGCTTTGAAAGGCTAAAGTCCAAATGGGTGCTTCCCTCACCAGCCCTGACAGCCTTTTCTGCTGTTCTGCCTAGCCCAGCAGCAGACAGAAAGCTTCACGAGGCCAGCTTCTGGAGTGCCCTTTCTAGTGGAGTGATGGAACAACAACTGGGCGGGGGGAGGGGGCACAGGCTCTTAGAGATGGAAATTGAGGCGCTTGCCCAGCCTAGACTGGAGGGCAACCTGCAGGCTCACGTTTTCCTGGATCAGCTTCTGTTCCAGGGCATCTACACCCGTGGGCGTCCTGATCTGTTTTCTTACCCATCTTCCGCTAGACTGCGAGCTGCTTGAGGGCAAAGCCTGCTGCTTGTTGATCTCTGTGTCCTAACCCCTGATGCAGGAGCTAAGTCCTGAGGAAATGGTGTCTCTATTTCAGGACCCACTTTAAATGACACGCCTCTGTGAAGTTTCCTTTCTTCAATGTCTTTTTTCTGTGTGTTTGGTGTCATTGTGGTGCATGAGGTGACTTGGAGGGCATTTGGCCTGGAGTTGTGGAGAACAATTAGCAGAGGGTGATTGTCATCCAGGCAGAGAGACCTGGCTGACAGTATATAAAGCAGTTGGCCTGAGCTCAAGGGGTCCTGAGGGTGACCGTGGGCTGCAGGACAGTTGGAGTTGGTTGGGGGCAGGGGCTGTGTGAGGGACTGGGGCACCCTAGGGAGAGGTCTTGACGTTTGGAAGCACCTTTGCAGCTAAGGAGGGCCAGGCTGGAGATTTGGGAGCTGCCAGCAGGCAGGGTTCTTGAAGGTACGGGCATGGTGAGAGGAGAGGCTTCGCAGGAAGAGAAAGAAAACTGGAAACAATAGTGCTGAAGAGATGGGGCCTGGGGACCGCAGGACAGGCTCCAGAGCCCTCAGCTGAGCTAGGGTGGGACTGCACTGCCACTCCTTTCTCTGCTCCCTGCCCGGTCCATGTATTTCTCACCCAGACTCTTCTTGGCCGTATTCCAAGCCAGGTCCCTCCCCTGGCTCCAGAAGTTTAGGGGTAAAGCCCTTCCATAGGGGGTGCTGCCTGCTGAGGAGCAGGGCCTCTGGGTGTTCTCCCATAGCACGATCGCAGTCCTGGACAGGACACAAACGGAGCAGCCCAAGCTGTTACTTTGCTCTGAGGGGCCACCTGCTCCCCCTTCACAGGCTCCAATCCCTGATGCTCTCTGTGCCTGCCTGAGCCGCCCACTGCCTTGCCTGCTCTGCCCCGCCACGGCGCCCAGCCCTTTCAGGGTGGGGTGCCACATGCTCATCTTGTGCATGGGGTCCCGTCCCTCAAAGGACCTGTCTGTACTCACTGTCTCCAATTCCTCTCCGCCTCGTCTTCTCATGGTAAAATGCATATATATCATACATATATATAGTGTCATCAATGTATATGTAATGAGCCATTTTCACCATCATTAAGTGCAGTCACTGTGTTGCGCAGCCACCACTTCCATCCACCTCTAGAATTTATTTTCTCAAACTGACACCCTGTCCCCACTCAACAGTCCTCACCCTGTCCCCAGCCCCTGGTACCCACACTTGCCCTCTGTCTCTGTGGATCTCCCTCCTCTCATGTAAGGCCCTGTCTCACAGGAGCAGAACCCTACAGCAAGTGTCCCTTTATGATGGCTCATTTCACAGATGTCCTCCAAGGTCAGCCATGTTATCTTGTGTTGGAGTTCCTTCCTTTTCTAGGCCGGCTCATATTTCCTTGTCTGGATGAACTACATTGTGTCTCTCCCTTTATCTGCAGATAACACTGGGCTGCCGCCACCCCTTTTCTCAATCGCACAACCAGCCTTTCACACGCACCCCCTCACGCAAGCCACCCTCGCCAGGCCCCCTTGCCAGACCCAGTGAGCATTCTGCAGGTCACTGTCCTTCACCAGCAGCAGCAGCACTGGACAGATGGAGCCAGCCACTGCTCCTCCCTGACATGTGAAGGGACCCCACCAGCTCTCAGGCATCCTCCCCCATCGCTGCTGCATCTCCCCTCTGCCCCTCTCATTGTCTCCAGACTTGTGGCGTCCCTGGGGGCTCCCCAGGCTCAGGGCTTTCAGTGTCATCTCTATGTGGTAAGAACTTGCAAAGTTCCATCTCCAGTACTTTCTGGGACTTCTGTGTCCACCTGCCAACTAGACATCTCCGCTTGGATGACACTTCCTGCATGACACACCCAAGGCTGACTCCGGACCATTCTCTCCTTGCCTCCCCGTTGCAGGACCTGGCAGCTCCATCCTTCCTCTTGCTCAGGCCAAATCTGTTGTCCTTAACTCTTCTTTGAGCCCTGCATCCTGCTCATGCACAGCCCCTATTGGCTCCACCTTCAAAATTGATCCCTGATGCAAAGACTTACCCTCTCTGCTGCTACCAGCCCAGCCCAAGTGACACAAGGCACCTGTTCAGTGACAAATTCTTGGGGCAACGTTTTGAAAATTTCAGCACCCATGGCTTTACACCCACCCTTCCCCACGGGTGTGGCTGCTCTCCAGCTCACTCTCGTCCTGCTCTCCCCAAGTGCCCAGGCTCCAGGTGGATGAGGCTTTCCCTGGGCTGCTGCCTTCCCTACTCCCTTCCCATTCTCCAGAAGGGTGCCGACCTCAGAGGCCTCCAGAGCAGAGCCTTGCCCACTGCAGCAGCTCCAGTTGGAGGGGGTTCCCCCTACCTCCTGTACCCCAACCCCTTCTTAGAGCAGCAGAGGCGGAAGCAGGAGCCTGCTTTGGAAAATGACATGTTTTTATTGCTATGTTTGCAGTGGCTTTTTAGCACAGTAAGAATGTCCCTGCAGGCCCGCCACCCTCACCCAGCCCCAGCCCTCCAGCCTCTGTCTGGGTGTCGGGGAAGCTTTTCTTGGGTCACTCAGCCGTCTTGGGACTGGATGTGACAGACGTACGTGGGTTAAAGCTGCTACACAGAAGACTGGAGGTGCGGGAAGTGCATCCACCTTAAGCCTGGACGTGGGAGCCGTGTCCGGGGTCCCTTCCGGGGGGCATGCCCAGCCCAGGGCATGGGGTGGGAAGCCTGAACAGGCCAGGTGAGCAGCCCAGACACCCAGGACGGAGAACTGCAGTCTCTTGCCCCACAGACTTGTGGGCAAAGGGACAGCGTGGGGACAGCCCCAAGACCCCCACCATGCACTTTTCCAATCCAGTCTGGGGCTGGGGACTACACACGCACATCCACACAACAGACTTACACACGCAACAGCTCAAAGCTTTTGTTTTGCCTATGAAAGTTAGATCTATAAATTCACACTCCTTGGCTAGGGGCAGAGGGGTAAGGTGGGGCTCACAGGGATGGGAGTGGTAAGGAGAGGATGGTTTGGGCTCCTTCCTCTTTAGAAATATACAAGCAGAAATCTCATTCTCTCAAGTTTTTATAAAATGTGCAAAATACAAGCCTCCATTGCCCAGAGGCACCATTTACATCTGGTATTCACCTTTGCTAAGAGATAGAGATCTATATATACTCTACGTAGTCACGCACGCGTGCACTCGCACCCAAGCTCACACAATTGATATTGGTGGCGATTGGCGCAGGAACCAGAAGGTTCCATTGCTGGCTGGCTCTCTAAGCTTCTATAACAGGGATGGGGAGAGGGGTGTAGCCCAGCTGAAATATTTGCCTTGGTTCTGCTGCCCCTCCCTTGCCTCCCTTCTCCTCTCTCTCCTGCCTCCCATCTCTCCCTCCTTCCCTTCCTCACATTTCCCAAGCTGCCACTGCTGCTTCTGGGGTGAGGGGTCACCCAAGGGTGTGCTGCAGAGCAGAGGCTGGAGAGGTGGGCAGGGGGTGGCCATGGCAGGGGCAGGAGAAGTGCAGCACTGTGGGTTGGGGGTGGGGCACTAGGCAGGGCCTAGGACCAGCTTGGCTAGGGCTGGAGGGGGAGAGGCATCTATTTTTGGTGGGCTGTGATATTTTTGGCGTTTTATTAAAAATGGAAAAAGTTGTTTTAGTGAGCACTCATGGTGCTTTCTCCCCTCCTCCCCCAGGCAGACCCCAAAAGTGTCAGGGAAAGGCAGGCCCCCTGGAGGGATGGGGTGGGTGGGGCTGAAGCAGGGGCTGCTATGGCTACCAGAGGTGAGCTGGTGATGTGAGCTGGGCTGTCACATGACACTCTCCACCACGACGACCTTGCTGCTCTCGGACACTGGGGTCAGGGTGGTCAGGCCCCTGACATCCGCATCCTGAGCTCGGTACTCCAAGTGGTGGAGGCCCCAGATGGGCTGGGTCAGGTGCTGCCAGCGCTGCAGGAGAGGAGGACATGCTGAAGCCCCCAGGGTCACTGACTTCCTCTGCCTCTCTCCAGTTCCCACTGCCTGCCACCCTAGTTGGGGCCACTCCCTGGCTAGGAAGCAGGCCGGGTTGAATGTTCACAGCAGGCGAGGGGAGGGTGGGCCAGGCGGGAGCCTTACCTCGGCCATGGTGCCCTTGGCCCTGAGGAGGCAGCCCAGGAGGTGCAGCGGCACACACAGCATGGAGGACAGCGCGAAGGCCCAGCCCATGGCCTCGCCCCACCACGGGTACACGTAGGTGTTGTTGTAGACCAGCGGCTCGTAGTACACAACGTTGAAGATGAAGATGCCCTATGGACCAGAATGCTGCGGTTAATGGGGCCCCCACCCCACCCTGCCTCGCCCCCCACCCCACCCCACCTCCCCTAGCCCTTACCATGCAGACCAGCGGGGTGAAGAAGGACCAGCACCATTTCATCCAGGGGCAAGGTCGGTACCCGATCATACAGGCAATGTCGTCCATGAAGCGGTCCGCTCCTGCGACAGGAGAGGTGGGAGGGCTGAGCTGGAGACCTGCCTTCCCTGCCACCATCCCCCAGCCCAGCCCTCAGCCATGACCTACCATACACCCAGGCCACCACCACGCACTCCCAAAATGCCTGCCAGAGCAGGGTGGTGCCACTGGCCGAGTAGTAGTCAAACAGCTGGAAGACGTACATCCCGCCCTGGGGGACAGAGCCCAGTCAGGGAAGGATGGCGGATGGCCACCAGAGGTCACAGGCAGATCCCCCCACCCCACTCACATCAGTCACCATGGAGAGATCGATGACAAAGCAGAGGGCACAACAGAGGGCCACAGAGATCTCCCTTTGGAAACGGAAGTAGTAGGAGGCCGGGAGGAGGTCGAGGAGGCCGGTGATGAAGCCTTCCACACCTACAAACTGTGGCCAGGGCAGCTCAGGCTGAGCCCCGCACCACCCTCCCACCCCTTTCCTTGCCTGCAGCCCTCACCCTGCCTCCCTCCTGGCTCCCTGTCCCAGAGCTCCATGCAAACCTGGCTGTCGAGACCAAGCAGCAACAGCATGAAGAAGAACAGGGCAGCCCAGAGTGGGGCCACTGGCATCAGTGTGACAGCCCGCGGGTAGGCGATGAAGGCCAGGCCCGGCCCTGTGGGAAAGGTGCAGGCTCTAGACCTTGCAGCTGACGTCCTGCCCTGTGTGCACCCTGAGCCCTGCCTGCAACACTCGCGCCCATGCCCTCTCCTGCCGCAGGAGCTGTGAACCCTGGGTCGTGCAGCAGGGGCTGGGAGGTCCTTTCTCCCTCTGTCAACATTGACAAATCCCAGGACCTGCCCCCGCAGGCCCACAATCTGACAAGTTCCGTTTGAACCCTTGTCACTTTTCAGCATTTATATTGTGTGTTCGTGTACATCATGCATCTGGGTGGCAGTTGCTGCTCTGGAGGCGGGGCTGGGGGTAGGGCCCTACCTGACTCTGCCACCTTGGAGATGTGCACACCCTGCTCTGCAGCCATGAAGCCCAGGATGGAGAAGACCACAAAGCCAGCAAAGAAGCTGGTCCCGCTGTTGATGAGAGCCAGGATGATGGCGTCCCTGAGGGGTGGAGGGGCCAGAGTGGACGGGTTAGGCTGCTGGGCAGGGCAGGGCAGGGCAGGGCACCAGTAGTAGGGCGGTGGTGCTTACTTGTAGCAGTTGTTGTTGAAGCGGTTGTAGCTGCCCAGGGCTGTGAGGGCCCCCAGGCCAATGGCGTAAGAAAAGAAAATCTGGGTCCCCGCATCTATCCACACCTAGAGGAGGTACGGCGAGCACAGGCGTGAGGGGCCTGTAGGGCTCCCCCACAGCACCCTGCTGCAGCCTCCCCACCTCCACCTCACCTGAGGGGACCCCAGCTTTGACCAGTCAGGCTTCAGATAGTAAATGATGCCGTCCAGGGCGCCAGGCAGCAGCACTCCACGCACCAGCAGCACGACCAGGACCACGTAGGGGAATGTAGCAGTGAAGTACACGATCTAGGGGGCCAGGCTGCTCAGTGGGCGCCATGGCACCACCTCCCTCACACCCCCACTCCCGGCGCCTCCGGTGCCCCTTGCGGACAGGTATGTTCAGAGGTCCCCATTCTCCTCGGAGCCATGGCTCCCACCAGAGGAAGCTAGGGGCAAGGCTGGGCCCTGGCAGCCCTGGCAATTGCAGGGGGAAGCTCTCTGGGCACCTTGTCTGCAGGATGCATGTCGTTCGGGAGCAGGTGAGCCTCTGGGAGCTCTCCTCAGTGGGGACAGGAGGCGTGGAGCATGTGGGGAGTGAGGGCTGTGTGCGTGTGTGGGTAGTGCAGGTGTGGGAGGCCCAGGCAGGGAGCGGGATATTGGATCAGGGCCGGGTCCCCTCCTCTTCTGGAGAGAGGTGGGGGCTGAGCAGGTGGAGAGTGGAACTGGGCCAGGCAGAGGCAGGCGAGATGCGGCCGCCACACCATCTGCCCCCTCTTCCCACATGCTGCTCTGGGGACCTTGTCCCCCAGGGACCTGGCCATGTCCCACAGCTCTAGACACTGTCTTCTTTGTTCAGGTGACTCCCCAGCCTGACCGGGAGTCCCCAGGGGATGTGGCCAGACTTTGCTCTGGGTCCCCAAGGCAAGACAAGCAGGTAACAGATGGTCAGACCAGGTCCACCCAGACTGTCACAAGAGTCAGAGACTGGCAGGAGGGCACCGGTGGGGGTGATGGGCACAGGGAAGGGGCAGTACCTGCCGGGCCCTGGATGTGGAGGGTGGGGAGCGTTGCTTGACTTTCAGTACCTCCCCCTTCCTTAGGGCTAGACCCTGTCTGGTCACCTCCTGTTGCCACAGGTGTGCCTGGCACAGACATCCAGCTCCCAGGGCTGAGACACCCTCCCCCCTGCATGCCTCTAGTGGTACCTTTCCCGTGGATTTGACCCCCTTCCAGACACAGAAGTAGACCAGCACCCAGCAGGCCAGCAGACAAAGGGTCACCTCCCAGTTGAGGGCCCCTGGCACCTCCAGTCCCCCAGACAGCCTCAAGACTTTGTTCCTAGGGGAGGGAGGGAGGTCCCTTGAGGCCTGTGCCAGCAGAGGATGGAGCCACAGGGTCCACCCCCAGGAGTTGTGGCTCCTTTCTCTCCTACAGCCCAGGGTTCAGCGGGTCCCTCTTTGTCCATCTGGGCTGGGCCTGGAGCCCAAGAGCCCCTGGCCATTGGGAGGCCACTCCCATCCCACCCCACATGCAGCCCCAGCTCCCCCATCTGGTGGGAGTGACCAGGACAGTGATAGACTGCCGAACCCAAGAGCGAGGCCCGACCTGGCCCAGCCCCTGGGGCTAGCCCCAGGACTCTCTGAGGGCAGGCAGGGTCCAGGTTGGACTGCCAGGCAACACCCTGGCCCCCTACTCAGGGCCATTCCCCTGGAGCCAGGCCATGTGAGGGAGACCTAGGGGATGGGATGGGCTTGGCCCAGAGGTGCCGGACTCACTCCCAGAACTCAATGACAGGGGACCGGCGGTCAGCAAGCTGGTCACAGGTGAGGTTGGCCAGGCTGGCATTGGCACAGTCTTCATGGCGGAAGATCTCCACGCAGTCGGGAGTGTTCCAGGTGTGGCCACATGTGGCCCAGGGCAGCGTGGTGGTGAAGGACTTGACCAGGTAATAGAAGCCCCAGGCCAGCACCATGATGTAGTAGGTGTTGCAGTAGAAGACGATCACCATGGACGCGTAGCCCAGGCCTGGGGCGGGGAAGTCCTTGCCATGTGAATTCTTTCCTGGTCACCTCCCTCCACCACCCCTTTATCTCCCGACCCGGACTGGCAATGCTCCCACCGTCTGTCCTCCTGGAGCCTTCTGTGTGGTGCTCCTGACCCCCCTGGACTCCCCCTTGTGTGAGCCCCAACACTAGGCTGACTCCCCAGCCTGTCTCCTCTCCTCCAGCCACCCCCCAAACCCAAGGCAGAGCGAGCCCCTCTCCCCGTCCCCATGTGACCAAGTGCTGTTGAGTCTCCAACCTCACAACACCTGGCCCCTTTCTGCGGGTCCCACTGCCACCATGGCGGTTCCAGGAGGTCCAAGCCTCCGCCTAGCCACCCAGTAGCCTCCAGTCCACAGCAGCTGGTGGTGGTGGTCGGTTGGGGGGGCGGTTTCTAGTAGCCTAAGGTAGTGTTGGAGACAGTTGCCCCCGCAGTGGGCAACCTCAGTATGTTGCTCCACTCTGTGCCCCCGCGTCCTTGGGGATAGTAATAGTAGGACCTACCTAGAAAGCCAAGTGTGCTGGGCGGGTCTGCCCCCCAGCCCGGCTATGCCTGGCCTGTCCTTGCCTTGTGGAGCTGCCTATGCCCCCTCTAGTGCCCGCTTCCCCAAGGTCACTGTGCAGCCTGAACATCTCCAGGCTCCCCCCTTGAGACTGGGGCGCTATCACGTGGCCCCAGGCCTGGTACTCAGGACAGGAAAAAGATCTCTCGAGTGGAAGCCAGCTGGGCAAAGGGCCGCTCACCTTTGAACAGCGGACAGATGTTCCAGACATTGATGCTGCCGGCCTTCATGAACTGGCCCAGCGAGATCTCCAAGAAGAAAATGGGGATTCCTCCGACCAGGGCGATCAGGACGTAGGGAATAAGGAACACACCTGGGGGTGGAGGGACAGGGTGAACTCAGGGTGGCCCCCAGCCAGGCTGCCCAGGCCCCGCGGGCCAGCCCAGACTCCAAAGGCCCCATCACAACTCCCCACTGGGTGAGTCAGTGTAGGGGTGGCCACTGACTCAGGCCCCAGGTGGAGTCTTGTGGGGGTGGGTTGAGCCATTGGAGCCCTATTCCCTGGGTGGCAGAGGGGCCCTAGGCCCACAGGGCTTCCACCCCCATGGTCACTTGGGGTGATGGCCATGGAGGGCACACGCTCAGACATGCAGGCTGTCCCTAGTGCCGCAGTTCCCTGTTTCAGGCAGCACAGTGGGGTATGTGCGCCAAGGATGGGTGATCAGGCCTGGGGGGCTTGTCCAAAGGCAGGGAGCGTGACTGTCCTGCCTGCAAATGTGAGGTCCAAGGCAGAGGGTGGGTGGGTCGCAGTCTCCTGCTGGTGGAATGGCGATGTGCAAGGACAGAGGGAGACAGGTGTGGGAAGAGGGGCCAGGCCCGCCTTAGCAAGCCCAGGGAGTCAGGCTCTGCAGGAGATAGGCATATAGGCAAGGCCAGACACAGGCCCTGGCCAGCAGGCTGGGGTGAGGGTGGCAGAAGGGCAGGGAGAGCCGGGTGCCACCGCCCCCTTCTCTCTAGGCCTCCTACCCTTGCCCTGGCTGGGCTCCCTCCACTACTCAGAGGCTGGGCTTGGCTGCAACTTGCCTGACTCCAGGTCCCAGCATCCTTCTCCTGACCTTGGGCAAAGGCCTTTGCTCTGGACCTCTGTTTCCCACCCATCACCGGGTCACTTCAGCTTCCAGCAACCCCAGTGCTGTTTTGTAGTCATAGGACACACTCGTGCCCATCGCTGTTGCTAAGCTGGGCCCGGGCGGGCGGGCATGGGACGTGCATGCAGTGTGTCCAGTGGCGGCGCCAGGC